ACACACACACACACACACACACACACACACACACACACACACACACAGATACAGAGCAGGCTTTTGAGTCAGAAAAGCCTGGATTCAAATCCTGTCTCTGACTCCTCCTGGCTGTGTGACCCTGGGCAGGTCACTCAGTGCTCTAGGCTGCTCCCTAAGCCCAGAAGATGCAGAGAGCAGGTGCTGACCTATATTGTAGAGGGAGCCTCCAGAGAGAGGGTACAGGGTGACAGTCAGAAGAAGGGAGACAGAAACTGTGATGTCACTGACTAAAGACAACTCCAAGAAGAGGAAAGGCCCATACCATAGCAGATCTGGTCCTTAGGCCTAGAGTTGCCTAGGGGCACTCAGAGGTTAAATGACTTGCCTAGGATCACACAGTCAGTATAAGTCTTCCTGGCTCTGAGGCTGGCTTTTGCCTGGCATAGGCACTCTCCAGCCTAAATCTATCCCCTGAGTTTTAACTTCATATCTCCAAACTTCCTGCTGACACCTAAAATTCAACTGGTTGCAAAAGTATACCTGCCCTCAAGCCTGCCCCATCCTCCCAGCATCCCTCCCTGAGACTGAGGGCACCATTAGCCTCCAAGTCCCTTCCTGCTCCCCCCAGAGCCAATCAGTGGCTGAAGGGGTCTGTTTCTGCCTCCCCAATGTCTCCCCAACAGCCCAGCCCCGTTGTCAAGGCCCTCATCACCTGGCCAGCCACAGCCTCCTAACTGGTCTCCTGGCTTTGCCCTTTCCTGTCTCTGATCCACCCTTCAAGCAGCTGTCAAAATGGTCTTCCTAAAGCAAATGTCCAACGTGCTCATTTCCTCTACCAGAAAATGCACTCTTGAGGCTCACCCTTAAGGCCTTCTGCCATCTGGCTCCAGCCTTTGGGAGTGGGGCTGCTAGAGTACAAGGAGCCCATCCCATCCGAGTCCCCACCCTTGCCACTTCAATTCTTTGGGCCCCAGTTTCCTCATCTGTAAAATGAAAGGGTTGCACCAAGTGGTTCCAGGCTAAGATCAATGAGCCTCCCTTTGGGGGAGGGGGGCAGTTATTCAACACTCCCCCTTCACATAGGGTTATGTTTTGGATAGAATGGGAGCTTTTTGAGAGCAGGAGCTCTTTCACATGGGTGTCCCCCCAGGGCCTTACACATCCACGGCACCTGGCACACAGAAAGCACTGATTCCAGCCAAACTGGGCTGCAGGGCCATTCTCTGCACCTTCACACAAGCTACCCTCGCCCCATTCATTAATCAACAAGCATTCATTGAGCCCCCTAGCCTGGACTGGGCTCTGCCCTCCTTCTGGCCTCTCCCAGACTCCTCCTGGCCTCCCCCAGAATCCTAACTCTCTTCAAGGCTCCGCTTGGATGCCACCTCCCTGATGAAGCCTGGATTCTTTGCTCCTGCTTTGTGCACCCACTTGTCAGCTCCCCAGATCCTTTCTAGTTTCTATCCAAATGGCCCCAAGGGCAGGAACTGTCGTTTTTCATCATCAGCTCCAAGACAGACAGGGCTCTGTACACAGGATCACAGGTTTCGAGCTGGAAGGGGCCTGGCAGCCACATAAGTAAGCTTCATTTTACAGAGAAGGAAATTGAGGCCCAGAGGGGACACAGGTAGCAAGTGGCAGGTCTGGGATTGGAACCCCAGCCCTCTGCCTCCAAATCCATTAAACCACCTCCCTAGTAAGCACTCAGTAAATAAATATTTGTTGTTTAGTCCTCAGAATCCAAATTCAGTATGTGTTACCTCACTCCAATTAACTGAAAGTAAGTGAAACCCACACAGACAAGCCATAGAAGGAAGACAAGAAACCCTGTACTGCCACCTCCTCTTCCAAGAGCAGCATAAACACACACACACACACACACACACACACACACACACACACACACACA